GCTTCTGATCCCCTCCATTTGCACAGTAAACAACAAATGAAGAAAAAGGCACCGGGCCGTTTTATGAGCGAACGGAAGTGCTGGAAATGGGGCTGTGTGTTGAGTCCCCTCAAAAGACAGGAGCAATAAGATGAGGGCTTTGTGTGTGCGTGTAGAGGGTAATCTTTGTCAGGTCCTCATCCATCATCAGGAATCAGACCTTGCTCTCTGGCAGAACCTCAAAAGACTAAAACCTGGTTTCAGGAAATTAAGGAAAGAATCTGTCTTGACTTTGAGTCGTGATCATTGAATGTGATGGATTCAAACACGTGTCTTAGATGTTAACAGCTCAGGCTCCTGTCCTTCCCAGTCATTGGAGTTTTTTTTTCCTCTGGAAAATAAACTCTTTTACAGCTGAAATGCTAAAGGCTTTACCATAAAGGTTGTGCTGATGAGTCTCATCCTAGCAATATTAAGCCACAGCCATTGGATTCCCAAACAGACCAGATGTCTCATTTGGCAAATGCGGGTTGGTTGTTTTTCTTGTGGCTGATCTGTAGCTCTATACTGACACCATGTGGCCGCAGGCAGGAAGTGCAGGAAAGCTTCACAGTCTTTTGGGTTCACAGAGAGTGTTCATGCTTAAACTTAAACTCTAAGTACTGTAGTAGATTTGTATTTGCGCATTAGAGCTTTTTACTGTCATTTAGAAAAACCTTGGCTCATACTAGATCACATTCCCAAAGGTTGCATGTTTTAGAACAACGAATTCTGAAATACAGTATATCATACAAGATTGCTTTATAGATGAGAAAACGGAGGAAGAAAGCCTACCTAAGTGGACTGGTCTCCTGCATTGTGATGAATTTCACATTGAAAACATCCCTTTTCCACGTATTCCAGCTCAAAATTTCACTTTGGACAACTACCATGAGTCTCATTTTGTGAGTGACGGTCGTCTCTTTAAGTGGTATTTAGGTGATTCAGTTGATGGTAGTGTCCAAAAATCTGATTTCAAGATCTGTTAAGGATTTCGAAGTGTTTTTAGGAATATTGCAGTTGTAGAAGCTCTCTTTCTTTTATTTCTGTTCAGAATTCAGAGTATTTCAACTTCCTGCATCCGCTGCACGTTTGGTGAATGCACAAGGCTCACTCAGAATGCACCTGCACGCGTTTGATGCTGAGTTTTGAGATTAGGAAGTTTCAAAGGTATGCTTCTGTTGACTTTTCTTCAAAGGTAACATTTTCACAGGTAGGTCTGCACCACCACTCCAGAGACTACTAAAGGTCCCTCGGGGTCCGATGCTGTTAGGCATTTAGCACTTTATGTTCTTTCACCCCCTTACTTGCATAACTACCCTTAAAACGAAATAAAATCACAAAGAAAAAACAGACAAAAAAAGATTACAGCGAGTGCTTTCTGTATTGTCATTGCTGTATTTTCAGGCAGTGTACATTTTGGATGGGTTTATTAATTTATTTTTCATTATTTGTGACCAAGTGAATGATAAACTCTATATAAGGAATAAACACAACTGAATCCCAACTGTATAAGTGACACTAAAATAAGACGAAATCAACAGCACTAATGGAGTTCCTGGTTTGCTTTGATTGGAGCAGGTTCAATCTGACAGCAATGCCAGAGGTGAAGAAGAGATCCGTCTGGATTCTCAGATATATGAAATGCATGCACCGTAGCCATTAGACCTGCAGGTATCCACAAATACTCAATAATGTCTGAGGCGCTCCTGAATTATTTACAGCTCCAAATTGGATTAGCAGAGATGGTTCTGCTGGCAATGGGTCCATAGAAAAAGATTAGAACAAAGCTATTAATTAATGCTTTGGCGGCTCCACGACCAAGTTCACACAGTGGCAATGTAGACCAGAACCCATGAGGCAGAAGAGCAGTCCACCAAAAAAATGACAAATCTGTGTTGGGAAGCGAGGCAGGTGCCCTCGGTTCCACTGATGGCTGACTTTGACATTAGTTTGCTTGAGAGTGTTGGGGAAGTTCAGCAAGAAGTGAGTTTGCAAAGTGCATGGTTTCGCACTCGAAACAGCCTTAATATGAATTTCATTTGAGAACTCTGCATGACAAGCATTCAGCATGACGGATATCTGCCTTGGGAACAGAATGAAACCACAGGCTCCGAGAATTTTATTTCATCACTTCAAATACGAGACTTCAAGAGCCGAGTGTGCTCAAGTTAAATGTGAATAATGTGCAAACCTTTTTCATATTTCTTAAATGCAAATTATGGGTGACACAATTTTATTGAATGAACCTGAGTTAACTTAAATCATTTCTCTTTCCTTGAAAAAGTTGACATTAAAAAAGACCTTGATGCACCCCTATAGAGAACCATCTAAAATAGTGGGCCTCTTTTACATCCTCAAACCCCTTTTGGAATGTGGCTCATGTTTATCATTAAGTAATTTCTGTTCAAGGTAGACAAAAAAAGCCTAAATCAGAAAGATACAAAACATTTCAAAATAGTTTTGTTATAAAAAAAAACATAATAAATCATGACACCATGAAGTGAAAACAAAAAAAAGAAGCCAATCAAATCAGTCAGAAATAGGATAACTGAGAGATGATTAATGAAAGTTTCCACAAATGAATCAATAGAAAGTAATTTTCTGCTGGAAGGGATATGGGCGAACCCCTAAAAAATAGCCAGCATCATTCCTAATTTAATACAAACAAAATAATTATGGTGGATCAAGATTTCATCTGTTACGAAAGATTGAAGATTTAATTAAAGCAATCAAACAAAACTGCACAGTTGTAGCCTTTAAGTAACCACGGGGACTCATTCACATAGTCAGCTGCACATTAGATGGTCTGCTCAACCCTGCACAGAGTCATGTGTCTCACGGCCCACAATCTCAAAAAGTCATTTTCTAGTATGATGACTGAATGAAATGATACTCTCCCCCATCTCTGTTAATGATGGAAAAATGGTAAGTAATATTTGTCAACCTAGCCCAAGCTGGGAGCGGGGTGTATCTGCCATTAACACACAGTGTGACTCGCTCACTGAAAAAGGCCGACGAGTGCTACGAGGTTTAAAAATGAGCGTGGGATAGCGAACACGTCGCACAAAAAACAGCGAGTGACTCAGAAGACTGATGGCCGCTGATATATTGGAGGGTTTTCCATACATGTTTTATAGGGCGGTGGATGCAGGAGCATTTTAAATCATCCCCCCTCCTCATATCGGGGTGCAGAAATGTATTCCTCCTTTAAGTTTTTCCCCCAGCTGTCTCACTCCTGAAGGTTTGCTCATTTCGGCCTCGACATTTGTGGCATTTTAACTTTATTGACTGAATTTGCGAAAGCGTTTTTCAGTGGAATTTTTAGAGCCCTGGGCTTATTATATCCACATTGGACATCTTGTCAAAAGTTTTTGTGCGCAATTCTTATTTAGTAAATAAATTTTTGATGCTGAGACATATTTTCTCAGTCTGTCGCCCCAATTATTTTGAATATTTCCTGCCGTGTCCACGACTGAAATCTGAGTTTTTTCAGATATGAGTGGATAAAAAAAAAGTTTCTTCTCTGACAAATAAATTCATATGTATCAGCTGCTGTGATTGACCTGTGGAGAGTGTGATGAGAATCCGAGCAGGTTGTGTTGTTTTATACTGTTTAATTAATTGGAAGAAATGTTGGTTTGATTTATTGTTTGGTCACTCTTTAGTGATTTGATAAATATCTCATTTAACGGTTAGTATTAGCATTAAACTGTACTGTATTCATTACACTGTAATTGTCAACTTGCAGAAGATTTTGACCGGTTTCCTGAATGCAACATCTCCCACAGTGGCTCTGAGATGGATGAGTACATTAGTTCTGTTGGACAGGACTTAGTTAGGATGGGAAACAGCAGGCAAGCACACGTTATGTTTCAGTAAAAGTGTTTTGCGGGCTCATGCCAAGGTACATATCCCTGATAGAAACCATATAACCTGAACAGCCTCAAAGGAGTTTCATTCCATTGAACTATTACAAAAAGACTCACTGAGGACTCAGGAGGCTGTTCCCTCAAAGGCATCTCACAGCCAAGGAGGTACTTTTTTAGTTTTTTGTCTCTCTTTTGCTTTATAGAAAAAGTCGTATTCCTCATGTTATTTTATGTTTGTATGTCACTGTTTGTATTTTAGGTTTAATTTGGACAGATTTCTTCAAATAATCCAGTAGAAAGAAAAGCCACACGTCTTCCTGTGCCTACAAGGAAAGTCTAGTGTCAGCTATTTAGTGACCTTTGACCTTTTTATGGTAATAAAACTCACTCTTTTCCTCTGGCTCTTACTCGGTCTGCACTTCATCATCTCTGGATGAAAAAGCAGGCTCAGTTAAAGCCCGTTTTTATGATCTTGACACGTCATTCACCAGCCCTTCTTCTAGATCTGTTTCATGTGGTCAAAGCTACAGTCAGCAACACTCCTTCAGTTTCCAGTTGCTGTAGTCTCTGCTGGTTGCCCAATCAACTGTGGAAACATCAGGCCTCTGTTTGCCGTCCTCTGTGATTCGATTGTTCTTCCTTCAAACAGCATGTTTTTCTTCATCCTCGGATTCTGCCATCGAGCAGAGGACTCTTCATCTTCTGTTTTGTAAACCTCGATACATCCCCTTCTTCCTAACCTCAGTGAGTCTCCATGAGGCTTTCACCAGCTGAACTCGTGCATTAATCATTAATCATCAATCACAGTCTGCACAGTGTTTCTTGTCTGCTTATTCCCACGTTTTCTTACCAAAACACCTCATTTGACATTGCAAACTGAGACTGTTTTAGGTAAGTAAAATAATCTCAGAAGATGCAACGGGGGCAGTGAAATTATGTAGACTGCACCAAATGCAAAAAAAAGTTGCAACTTACAGAACTGTGCATATAGTCCTGCGGCCTTTAAACTTTAGAAAGTGAGCAAATTTGGATGCTCTGCGTTTTTGAACCGTCTCAACCAACAAACATCTGAGGGCAACTGAAACAAATGGCGAGCCTGGAGAAGAGCAGATGTTCGCTGTGGATGCACACGATCTCTCAGCTCCTCTGAGACAGAGACACATCATCCTAGCCAGGGTTGATAAGCTCTTGAAGCCAGGTAGGATTTGCAAAAGAAAAACGGATAACTGAGCTGCTGAGTCTTAAGGCTTGATGAGCCGTTTTTTTTCTTTTTTTTTTTTTTTTTTGCCGACAGCTGGTAAGTTCCTGGCATCGCATCCCGCAGCATGTTTTGCCTGATATTTCCCTGTGAGCAGTTTTTCTCTCTTCTTATCAGCACTGCTCAAACGGCATTGTGTAAATTTATATTAAGGTGACAGGATTTGAGCATGCGTTCATTTTTTCTATATGATGATGTGAGCGTTAGCCTTGTTGCTAAACTCAAACGAATGTTGTTCATTTATAGTCTGGGTTAACTATCCTCATCAAAAGCTCCGTCAGGTATTGTAGTTGAACTGTGTTGTGTTCAGCATTGTTCCACCCCCTGCTGTGAGGATCTTGTTTGTTCCTTGTGCAAATATAAAAAATATATCACATTGCTCAAACACTCAGTGAATCTACACCATTTCAGTTTAAACTAGACAATAATTATTATTTATTTAGGAAAACTGATTAGATTTTTGTATTCATAAAGATTTATTTTAAATCCCACAAAAATATATCTAATTAAATTGAATTACTTGAAGGTAAATTCATCATTTTTTAGGATTTTATCAGCATTTTCTGCCTTTTGTAACCACTGCTGGCTTGGCAGCTTGTCGTGAATCAGAAATTAGCCTTTTGTAGCTTCTAACATCAATATATTTGGCAGCCAAATAAAGGAGGGTGAGTCCTTGCCCTGGGAAGTACGAACAGTCCAGCCTAGCTCATCTGCATCGTGTTTCATTAAACAGAAGTGATGGGAGAGAGTAGGACGGAGGCCAGCCCCGCAGTAGCTGCTAGACGAGCTGAAGCTGCCTCCGTCATCAGCGACAAAACCACGATGAAAAACAAAAAATTCAGCGAATGGCTGACAATTTTTCCTGACTGTGCCCAACGTTTTGCCCATTAGGCACCAGCTAAGATTCCTCTGTTACAGAAATAGAAGCAAACAAGCCTCAGACTGAACCAAAGGACACACCAATTATTCCAAAAGGTTTGCAATATTTATTTATTGGCTTTAAACACACTAAACTTAATCAAACTTTAACTCTACACTATTCCTTTAATTTACTTATAAAAGCATGTGTTAAAGCGTGGAGATGCAGCACAAATGGTGTAAAAAACACTTTTTATTCTTTAACAGAGCCTGCACCTTCACACGTTTCTGTGAAGTATCCTACTATCACAGATCTCCAGATATCCTGGAGGACATCACAAAGCTCTTTGAATGTTGTTCTGTCCTCTGGCAAAGTGATCCCACTGCTTCAGAAATGTTGAGGTCTGAGCTCCCGAGTGGAGTCATCCTTCCATAGAACGGCCAGGTGCATCTCTAAGGTTATATCTCCATGTTTCTAGTGCCAAATCAAACCGAAACAAAAAAATCCTGGGACAAAAACAGTTTTACAATGTGTCTTTGGGCTTTTTTTTTTTTAACTGAAAGCTCGTCACAAACACAGATTTCCCTTTTCTGTAGTCACAACACGTCCATAGAGTTTGACTTACACAAAATAACACTTCTGTCATCAAGGTGATTTCCAGGACTTACTTTATGGAAACTTGGCATATTTATTCAATGTGTTCGGTGTGTCCTTGAAAAATGTTGAGAAAACTTGAGAAACGGAGGGCAAAATAAGAAGTTTAATTTCTGTCAATAGTAGAAATGCAGTATCTGAGAGGCAACAGGGAAATACATCACAGGCCTTGAAAGTAGACCTAAAAAAATGAATAAATAATGAAGGAACACAGAGAACACGGGCTATCACAAGTTAAAAACAGAAACGTACATACTTTAAAAGATAATTAACGGTGAAATGGTCAGAACTGTGGTTAGACTGACAGAAGCCCGTAAGATTCAACAGGTTAGCATGGAGATTAAACGTTAAAATACAGTTCATAAATACGTTATTCTGCTCGCTTGACGGCAGCTAGAAAGAAACGGATGCCTTCACAGTGTCAACATCGAGAACACCGGCATGCCTTCGGAGCCAAAGCAATCTCGGTTCTGTGCGTTCCCCGTGTTGTGAAGCATGAGCTGAGGCCTGGGAGACTGACACAGCAGCAGCTCCAACCAATCGGATACCTCCGCTGCGCCGGCTGTCCAATAGGCAACTCTGCACCCTGGCTTTCATAACCATGTTATGCACAATCTGTTCGCACATGAGTGTTTTTAAAGAAGAGAAACATTTATAGCTGAGAAAACTCCTCAGGAGAGGAGGCACCTAATTGTGCCTTGAGGCGTCCAAAGGCTTTTCACTGGGGCGGAACCCTCTAAGGTCACTTGTACACTTGTAGTTTGCACCTCACGAGGCCAGTGTTGAACCTCCTCTAATTTTTTACTCATTTGAAAAGAAGAAAGGCCCATTTCAATGGTTAAAGATATCCAAAATTAAACTTTTTCCCCCTGTTTTCAAAGCTAAAAGGTGGCTACACAGCTTGTAAATACAGGACTTCATCAATTAAAAACAAAAAGTTGAGTCATCAAGGAAGATTATATTTGTGATATTTACCACTTGGGTATATATATATGTACCTTTCAGTACAAATATGTGTATCAGGGTCCAGTTATTTTCCCTATGAGTTACAAGAGTTGAGGTAGTTCCTCAGGGGCAAAAGTCTACTACTGTTCCTCCCATTTTATATGCTCTGTGATTTTTCATTTTTTCTTGTAGTATAGTCTTATATTACTGCAAGAATATACAACAAATAAGCCACAGATTGGAAGACTTTCTGTCACCTGTGACTGATTTCTTCTCTCATTTCTCTTCTTTACTTTGGTGCATTGTAAGGAGAGAAACTGTACTGATTCTACTGCTTTTCAGTTGAATCTCTGATCTTGATCCTGTTTTCCAAGAGTAGAACAAGAGGATTACTACAGGTTTCCTCTGTGCACTATAGGTCAGGCTATATCAGGCATTAGGAAAAAAATCTGATCTAAAAAAAGATAGAACAGATACGTCTTATCTCTTTAACACGTGATATTCGACCAGGTAGAAGGGTCAATCCAAAGTTGAATATAAAGAAATGTAGTCTGTAAAATTTAGGCGACTTGAGCTGCAATTCTAGGCGTTTTTTTGAGCAGTCCTCTCTGGCCTCCACCAGGTGGAGACGCAGCACAGCAGCTGGACACTGAGGAAAGACTCGAGGACATTACGTAACCTCAGATTTCCCCCCAAACTGCTGCGTGCACAGACACTGACCCCTCTGCTGCCACGTCCTCCCCGGGTCTCTGGAGGAATTTAAGAATCAGACCGTGCAACCCCATTAAAATACTGTTTTCTGTTATTAACGTGCAGCATCACACCTTAAACTCCTTTATTATAAAGAACATTACTAAATATTGCAGCAACTAATCACCCAGTAGGTTCAATTATCAAAGAATCTAAATAAACTGTGACATCTTTTACGTAAAGTTAGTTATTTTTTCCTTTTCTTTCTTTTTACAAGTCATATTGATGTCTATAATTCAATGTCCACAACAAGAGGGGCCACACCTTTCCCTCATTCGCTTGCAGTCAACATCACCCTACCTGGAGGATTGCTATGGCAACAGGTTGCCAGTAACGACAGGGTGCATCCGCGCCTCTGTGTGTGTGTGAGTGTGTGTGTGTGAGTGTGTGTCTGTGGGGAAGAGCGGCGCGTCAGGACTGGAAGGAGGAGAATCAACAGCCGAGCAGGGAAAGGAAAGGGTGAGGTCCTCCGGGCTCAGTCAGCACAGACAGAGGAAACAACCAGCACCGAAGCAAACACTTGTGTGTGTTTTTTTTGTTTCTGCCATGAACTGAGGAGCCCCGGGGGTCTGCAGGAAACGTGCCTGTTCGCTGTTTCTCTTCTTGCGGCCAGAGAAAGAGAGAGAGAGAGAGAGGCTTAAAACAGCTCAGTCTGATCCACCGGAATGGAGACCTGCCGCTGACCACAGAGAGTCCCCATCTGCCCCCATAACAACAGGTTAGTGGTCAGATTAAGTCGTCCTCACCCACGCGCACACGAGCACGTTCAGACACACATATTCGGCAGTTTCTCCTTATTTTGAACCTTTTTAAATGTTGGGATGCTTTATTTTATGGTGCTTTAGAAGTGTAGGATGCAAGAAAAAAGATGCGCTTTGCACGCGTCAGGTGCATCCACGTGCGCCGTAAGGAGTCCAGCTGTGCCAGAAACAGCTGGTTCATTGCAACACGGACAGTTTGTTGCAGATACGTATAGAGAGGCGTGTAAAGGGGAAAGGCACGACCCCACACCGAGAGTGTTGTCTCCGTATTCCTGCGATGAGTCTGTGGGTGTGTCCGCGTAATATCACACACGCATTTAGATTAATGTGCAAAATAGACAATAAGAACCCCATTTGGGGATCCGCACTCTTTTGTTTTGGTTTATTCATCGCGTGCATGTGGATGATACTTTTTTTAAAATCTTCTGTTTGCATTTCTTTGAGAAAAAAAGTTACTTAGGCTTTGTCGAAATTTCAATTGTCTATTGTTGTCAAATGGTCAAATTTTAACATTGAAAGAAATATTAGACCTATAATGGATTTTTCCTTGAATTGTCTTACTTTCATATTAAGGGTTGTTTAGGTGGTGGTTTCTAAAGAGCAAAAAATGAATGGCATTTTTATCCAAAAATAGAGATATAACCACTAATTATTCACAAAGCATTAAATAAATCCAACCAAAAATATATGTTGTTTACTTTTTTCATCCAATCAGCAACTTTTTATGGAGTGCTGCATAACGGCATAGTTTTGAGTTATTTTACAATAAAGAACATTATGTACAGTAAGAAGGCATTTACAATTCAGTATTCCGATTTCCCCTCAGCTCATAATAAAGTCCCAGCCATGGAAAACCCACACCTCTTACGCTTAAAACCAAATTGTTTTACTCTATTCTTTTGTTTCATTTTCATGAACTCACAAAGCTGTATTTCTTCTTCACCTTACAAAATTCTTACTGATCTCCAACTGACCCAAAATAACTTCTTTACCTGTATTGTTTAAAAAATCTGAAGTACTGTAGTATGTTGTCTTTGTCATCCTGGAGCTATTTCAGGAGTGATGGAGAAATTACATCTCCTGACGGAGCCGCTGATAGGGACAGATAATAAGAGCCCTTTCCTTTTTTTTTTAAAAAAAAAGTCTCCTTTTGATGTGAGAGGCTCGTTCTTAAGTTGTCAGTGGGAGCTTAAATGTTTAGTGTATCTGTGAGAAATGCTGTCAAGAAAAGCTGCTAACTCTGAGCACTTAGTCATGGAGCTGCTGATGATATAAATGTTGGGAGGCTTTGAAGTGCAATTGCATAACCTTGTAACAAATAGCTGAGTGGGTTTCTGGTCTGAAGTGCTAATACTCTGTAACTTGACTGTGTCATTGGAGGACGGAGCAATGAGATTATGATTTGACAGCAGACATTGATGGAATATCGGCGGACAAAAGAAAAAACAACCCCGTTCCTTATCATTTTTTCACAGCCAGGGCAATGAATCGCCGCTGTGAAATATCATTTTCTGAATTTTAAGTGTGATGGATTACAGGCGGCTGATCGGCGAGGCAGGGCTGAAGGCTGCTCCCCCTGTCGCTCCTCTAAAGGCCGACGGAACCTGCTCTTTTGCTCCCCTTGTCACTCCGAGGCATCTCATAACGCATTCAGCATCCCTCCCAAGCGACTGCCAGCGTCTGAGACGCCTCCTCATGCTTACCGAGGCAAAACGAAAGGACACAACCCGAAAAAGATTAGAATTGATGTCACTTAAATGTTTCTCAGAGACTATTGTTAATCTGCTAATATGAGAAAAATGATTGAATTGGACAAAGTTGGCCAAAAAAGGAAAAATAAATTCTCTTCCTTTATCTAAATGCTATTTTCATTGTTACATTTATTTAATTTCACTTGCGAAAAATGGAGCCTGGCCACAATGGAGTTCATCGCAAGTCCATCAGACACACTTGAATCAGTGAAAATTGTACCTAAATTGTCCCATCTGGAAGAAAAAAGCTGGCAAATGGGAAAATGACCCGGTGTCTCATGATGCCCAAATCGGCATATTACAAAGCCTGTTTCTAGTTGAACTTAATTCTTTTGCAGTCACCAGATCACGGAATAATTAGCAGCCTTCGTAAAACATCTGAGGGACTGTGAGATGATTAAGAGAATAGGAAAGAGGCCACATGTGTTTTTCTAGTCTTTAGCTGATTGTAACAAAAGACACTCTGAGGATTTTTCTTTAGCTGCTAAATGACATTCTTTGTAAAAGGTCATAAGCCAAATGATTTTATGCTAGATTTTGTTGTATTGCATGAATTAAGCAAGTGATAGAAGTGGATTAATGTGGATATCATAATTAAGAATTATTTGATTTCAAATATCTGGTATATACATGAATATATATGTTCATGTATATATGTATGTATATCAAACCCGGGGATGTGCAAATGAATTTTGAAGCTGTTTTATTTGCGGTGATTCTTATTGAGTTCGCTCGGCTGGAGACAATATCGCTCTCACTGGCTGTTCTGGAATTGACAATTTTGCCCCTGGCCCGGCCTAAAGAACGCCAGTGCAACAGTCCTCTCCATCAAATGCATGCTGTTAGGCCCCTTGTTGACAGAACAAATGAATCACACAGCTGCAGGGCAGTTTTATTTGAGGGATCCTTTTTTTTCTTTTTTCTTTTTTTTTTTTGCTTTGCATTGCTTTGTTTTGCTTATGTAACTCCATCCAGTGAACCAGCCTCGTCCAGCCACCTGTAGGGCTCTACTGTGGGAGACATATTCAGAAGAGGTCAGAGTTTAGCCTTTAAAATGCTGAGTTTATTCTTAATACACAGTCGAAGATTCTATCAATGTAATCTTGATGTGTATAAAAGATTAACATTGCCTCTGGGTATGAGACGAGAAGCCAATGAATGTTTTTCATACAGTATAAGCTGTAGATTTATTTTTCCAAGGTTAGTTAGTAGTCAACACTGGTTCCCTCATGTGTGTAGCTGGGTTTTTGTAGCACCTCATTTTGACCTCAGCCATTGGTATTTGAACATTAGCAGTATATTTTCTGACTGTATAAGTGAGTCCTAACTGTAGGCTAAAACACCAGCTCTGATGGAAGTCTGTGGAAAAATTATAATCTTTCACTTGATTTGGGACCTCAGTGGTCGCCTAACTCTCTAATATCAGTCACATCGGGTCATATTGCGTTTAAAGAGGCCTATTGAGATACAGTAAATGTATGAGCTAGGTGTTTTTCAAAGATTTAATTGGCATGACTCACCAACTGTCCCCAGACTGAGACGGGTTATAGTATCATGTCACTGACCGTGGTCCTCCCAGACATAACGTAACATCCCGCATGTTCCCAGAGATTAAAGTGACCAGTGTGGATTTGGTAGGTGTCTTACACTTTAGTTGTTATTTTTGTGAGTGTTCGGTAGCCCTTTAAAAACTCACTTAATCACACTTTCTTTATTTTTAACAGTTTCACGAATGCTGTAAGTGTATGGGATAAATAACAGTGGCTGAAGATGTTTTAGTTGCCCTCTTTTTAAGAGGATTTCATCATGTTTTTTTTAGTACAACAAATGACGCTTTCCCAGCCGAAGCAGGATAAGACTTGCACAGGCCCGTTTTCATGGATGAAACATCCTTGACTTTGAAAACCACCTTGTGTAACTTGTTGGTCATCTAACCCTTCAAAAGCACATTTTTCCTCAGGCAGTTTACTGGTTTCTGATGCATCACTTGCAATCTCAGAGGACGAATGAAAATATGTGACTGTAAAGCCAATTTTCCGAAATGCGAGTAAATGACCTTAAAAGTGTTAGCCCGATTCTTTAGTTGGAAACCTGAGCATAAACCAGACTAGATCAAGAGCACAAATATGACATTTATTGGTCACAAGTACATTACATCAGTGCTGGGCTCACACAGACAAAGCTCCCTTAAGGGTCTTAATGACTGGACACAACCGGGTGTTATTGGCCAGTTACTGTACCTATGACATGAACGGGCCAGGTCCTAATTTATGCAGATGACATTGGAATCTGGTAACAAAGTGTGTGTGTGTGTGTGTGTTGACCTTAATAGACGTGCATCTACTGCAACAGAGAGAGGAAGATAATATGTGGGCGCAACCAGAAAGTTAACACAAGAAATAAGGAATAAGACAATCAGTAATTTACATGGATTGTTATTGGATACAATGCTAAAATTAGTAACTACATCCCAATTCTAACTAAAGGGAGCCAGCTTTATTTGGGGGAAAAAGCAGAATGTGATGAGTTTTGAACAAGAATGTGTTGGACGGCACACACCAAAGAGTGATGCACGGTATTTATGTTCTATTATATTGCCACAACATTATTACATACAGTATTGACAGTGATATTGACAGAATTTATGTGAAATTAGTTGAAAATCTATTCTGGAGTCCCTGGGGTTTTGGATTGCTGTTCCAGTTTAATCTGTATTCAGTCCATCAGCCTGCTGTAAACCATCTATATTCAAGCCTTGAAGTAACCTTTAATGAAGAGAAATTCAGTTTTCCCTACACCATACATCTGAGTGTAAGATAGATATTTGTTTACATTTAAATGGCTGGTACATATAGGCTTAATGAGAATATGTTACACAGGGCGAGGTCAGAAAATTCATAGTATCAGACTGAATAATGAAGCCCGTGGTGACACGTCTGCCCCTGGAGCAGAGCTGCTTTCCATAAACGTTACATAACAAAAACTCTCATTCGAATTCAAACCCCCTTAGCTGCCGACACTTGTGGCCGAAGGCGTCCCTTGAGGCAGCGTTCTGCCTGAAGTTACAAAAATAGACACATCCGGGAGTCTCTCTCTTTCTCTCTCTCCCGTCTGTTTGCGTGAACTTTCGAACCCCAGAGGACACGATCTTTAATCCGTCCGTTTGGGTTTTTCTCACACAGGTCCTGTCCGCAGAGCGCGTCTTCCCTGCCGAGATCTTTCAGCGAACGACAAAAGAGCTGGAGCCGAGACGGTCAAGCATGGACGTGCCCAGGATGGCCGAGGGCCTCTTCAGCAGCACGCTGTCCTCGTCGGGGGGCGGCCACCACGTGCCTTCCTACCTGACGCTGGAGCAGAAGGTGGCCTTCGTCTTCGTGCTGCTGCTCTTCATCTTCCTGGCCCTGCTCATCGTGCGCTGCTTCCGCATCCTGCTGGACCCCTACCGCAGCATGCCCTCGTCCAACTGGACAGATCACACCGAGAAAGACACGTTCGATTACCGTATCGTCTGAGGAGCCCCCTCGAGAGATTGCGCGAGCTTAAAAGTAATCTTCCTTTTAAATCAACTGATTGGATTTCTCGCAGAGCACTTTGGCCCCCTCAGAAAACAAATGACTGCTGATTCACCGGGAGGGAAAGTAACAGCTTTCCCAAAGTCCTCCGCAAGTTCAGACCAAGAACAAACTTGACGGCGTTTGGTCGTCAAAACTAATTCAACAGCTCGTCCCTGCCAAACGAAAAAGCGAAATTCTCCACCACAACCACACGAAGATGATATTAAACTAAATACACACTTGCACGATGCACCAGAGCCAGCGCAGGCTCACTCCCCCCCCCCACCCCCACCCACCTTTCCCCGCCATCAGTTCTTGTGTGGACTACCTCACTCCTCCTCCACCCCATGTCTGGAAGCGTTTCTCATATCTCGCACAGGGTCCAATGTCTTTCCAGTTACAAGCCAGAAGGATTAAACCAGTGTTTACATCTTATCATGTTTACTTACATTTGAGATTTTTTTATAGATAATGTAGACAATCAGTGTTGAAATAGCTCAAAACATGCAGTGTGAGTAGCTGAGGTGGTTGAGGTCTTTTTCTTACAGTTATTTTTGTTTTCATTTGTGGTGAGGTCTGAAAGACTTTGAGGAGGAGATTAATGCCTTATGTCTTTGGAAGATAGTGATGGTGATGCTCTTATCTAAAGAAAGGTTGGGGAGAAGACTTGCTTTAGGGTCATAAAGCAGGTTACTTAATCAATAAGAAGAAGACAGCAGTGGGAAAGCACCCTTTAATGTTCAGGAACAGCTCGAGCAGACAGATGCCAGCAGTGAGTAACTACGTGTTCTTTTTGTCCTGTCAGTGGTGAGGATGGGGGGTGGGGGGGGTGGGGCCTTCAGTGTCTGAGTCTTTAGATGTCAACAACCAAGAGGTGTCGAAGAAAAAAAAAAAGTTTACTGTGCTGTACTGTGTGCCTAACTTGATTTGAGAAAAAAACAAAAGTTAACGTTAACGTTTTAGAAAATGGAGAAAATGGGTTCATATTTCAGTCTTTAAATGTGTGTGTTTGAGTGCGTGGTGGCTATTTAAGAAAAAAAAAAAGAAAAACAAGGAAAACAGCATTTTACTGCCTGCACTTGGTATATTGACAGTTGGTATGCCAGATCTGCAGAGTGTTGATGTGGAGGACCACGAAGCAGCTCCACATCCAACCCCTTTACGAACTGATGTTGCGGCTCTTTCGTTGGGCAACTTTTCAACTGTGCGCCTTATCGTGTAGATTGTTTACAGTATCGTAGGTAGCGGGGACACTGGAAAACACTACCGCAACAGTGTCTTTGCTCTTCCCAGATGTCATACGACCTATTTAAGAAAAAAAGAAAAAGAAACGTTTTAAAAAAAAGAAGTATTTTTCCTGGTCTTATCCCTGCCAGGATGTGAACTGTGATCCTTTTTGCCGATATGTGATGTTTCTTTGTGATCTGCTGTGGCCTTTTACTGCTTAGTGCAGATGTCGTGCTGGGGTGGTGATTTATTTATTATTTCGGCCTCTTTATTATTTTCTATTTCCCTGCATGTATCTCCTGCAGAATATCCTGTCCGTGCATGATGAACGCTGAAGTGCTTTAATCCTGATGTTGTAGCAGTGGCTCAGTTGCTCAAGCAGCTTCTTTTTTTTTTCTTTCCTCGTCTGTCCCGGAGCCTTTTGTTTTTCGATCTGTTTTCCTCCTTGAGCCGCGTCTCTTTTGTAATAAAAATGATCACAGTCCCAAATCGCCCTCGTAATGTGTTTTATTTCATCAGACACATCCACGAAAGCGGCGCAAGTGGCAGGTGTTAAAGACAAACAAATAAAACGGGTGAGGAGCTGGTTCCTCCGATCATTCTTGACCTTTTACGAGATGGCAGCCTTTTGCCGGAGGGTTGCGCATTCTTCTCCATTTTATCAGGTGACTGGCATTGGTAGCCAGCAGGTGTCTCGATTGGTTTTCCATGAACCCTGACACTTTGTCTGGCTACGAAAATGCACACACACAGACACACATTAGTCCTGGGGTTTCAGAACCAGGGTGCTTTTAGAGTTGAGACCCATCACGTCTCCACAGAATAACAATCTACTGTCTCACATAAACGTTCAGCATCTCGGTGTGCAATAATCACATGGCACATCGTCTTTAAAAGGGGGAAAAACTCAAATAAACGTCATATCTGGACAGCTCTCCCCCGACGGGGCTTTCTTGTTTTTGCAAGCAGATGCATTTGTTGTCTTACCCGACAATTCTGCTGATATCACGCTTCTTTTTTTATTCATTCGTTTTCTGGGAGGGCAGAGGAGTGGATGCGGATGAGAATTTTAACTAAGAGTTGATCCAACAGGGGAGGAAAGTGCAGCCCAGGCATTTTGGTTTGTTATGTAACAGACAACCGGCGTCTTATCTGAAGCCAACTCACAGGCTAAGAGTCAAACTCGTGATGTGAATTTCATCCATGACTAATAACTGCTGGTGAAATTACACCTGCAATAAAGGCTTTTTCGCCTTTTTTTTCCCCACACACCCCAGTTTTTTGGCTTAAGCTGTGAGGAATTAAGGAGGCATGCATGTAGGAGAGAGATTTGGGCAGATTTGAGGAGCGAAAAGCTTAAAGATGGTTTTACCGTCAAACACAATATGGTCATCAGTCCTCGTTCCATCTCTGCTTGCTCAGAGATTGTTTGTCAGATCACCCCTGGGGGGGGGGGAGGGGGGTTGAAATTTTGATCGTTTCAAGCGATACCCAAAATAGAGGATTATCATCTGGGAATGAAAGCTCTCATTTTCTGTCCCTGAAATCTCATTAGCTCATGCCAGACAAAGATTAGGATCCAATCTAAACACACCCCAACACAGCAAGCGGGAGCGGCGGGAGGGAACATGAGCCATTATAGATCAATAGTACAGTCATGCTTTATGCAACACGACTCACATTAAAGAAAGCCACCGATAATTGAATTATTTTCATTCTCTGCTGTGCAGATTCGGATGCATTACGCCAAATTTATTCCCTCCCAAACGGCCCATTTCGCAATTTAGCCTCTAGTAAATGTAATGGTCTATGAACAGGTTGAAAGGGATTGTTCCCCAGTGAATGTGGGTGGCTATACAAGGCATCATAAGGAGAGGAATATTGATAACTCATAACTAATCATAAATTAATACTCTACGTTTCAAAAGCCAATGACTTTTCATTCACCCCTTTCTTTGAAAAGTGATAGGGCTCACAGAGGTTCTGCAGAAAAGAAAAGGAGATCCCTGCATCATCTGACAAAGAAGCTTTATGCAGAGATACGGAAACACGTATATTCTCTGTACATATGCACATAGTTTTCAGAAATGTTCAGCTTCTTAGTAGAAAGATCTTTTTTCATTGCTGTATTCATCATTGAGCAGCTCCTGGTTTTTCATATGTTGCAAAAGCAATGGGAAAAAAGATATGATCATTTCTTGACAATTGTTTTGAAAAATGGAGTATATTAGACGTAAAATAGAATTTGTCGAACTCTACTGAGACTGAAAGTCAATATTTGGAAGGAGAACCTTTATTCTCTAACACAGCCTGACCATGTGATTCCTTTGGAAATCGTTCCCCAGGCTTCTTGAAGGATATCTAAAGGTTATTCTGTGGATGTTGGCAGCCTTTTGACTCCATTTTCTGTCACACTGCTCCAACGATATTGAGGGCCAGGCTCTGGGGAGGATTTATCATTCCATAAGACCAATTGCCCCTGGTTTTCAGTCTGGTTGCTTTGACACATCGGTCTTTTTTTTCTATAACACCTCCTCAAAAGTGATTTCTTGACAGTAACCCCTCCATGGAGACCTTTCCTGATCATTTTCTTTACAGTAGACTGATATTGATGCTCCAGTAGATGGACCACATACGTCTCTGAGGTCCTTGGTAAGATCCTTCATGAATTTCTTAAAGACATAATTCTTTGAAACTGTTCATCTGATGTACATCAGCATGAGAGTCTTGACACAATCCCAAATATTACATCTACACAAATCTTGATCTCATGACAGGTCATAAAACCTTTGGTTGAAGCAACTTATCAAATTACAACATTTTTTTACTTTTATGTTCTGTGATAGAGCTTCATTCGTACTACTGTCCTGTTTAGAGTCATTGATTCCTCTATAGGAGCACGATGGTGCACTCGGGATGTAACGATATGAGCCCTGTCACAGTCCGGTTTAAATCCCAACTGGAGCCTTTCTGTTCATTTACTGACCTGCCACTGTTCAAAGCTCAACTTAAAACGTATTTGTTCAGGTTGGCTTTTTGCACGTAAAATCTCTGTATACTGGGTTCTGTCACCAATGTGTTTGTCTTTGTATATTTCGATAGTTTGATCTGTTTTTATTCTGTAAAGCACTTTGGTCAGCTCCGGTTGTTGTAAAGTGCTATATAAATAAACATTGATTGATTGATTGATTGATTGTGGGAAGTCTGGGAGTTTTCTGTCTGTGTGTGTCTGTACTTTCCCGATACTCCTGCTTCTTCTCACCATCCAGAAGCATCCATGTTTGGTTCATTTGGAGTGATGATAATGATTTTGGTCGGGAAAATCAGGTCATCATCATCAGCATGAATATAAAAAGTTCATTCAATTCAGAGTACTTATGCAGTGCGGATAATAAACAGAAAGACTCAGAAATTTAATAAAGTATTGTCAGTCTATTTGAAAGATTCTGATAAAAGCAAATGAGGGGAAAAAGACATTTAACTGGACTACAACTTTTTCAAAAGGTGATCCTGAAGATGAACATGAGTGCCGCTGATCTTCACAGGCAGGTGGTTTTGAGCCTCAGGGTCCTGATAGATGAGATTTGGACTCTTAAGGACAACCTGAGGGGCTCCCACCAGGTGACTCCAGGCTACTTGAACACCCACGACGCATTCAGAGAATTCAGCAGTCTCCATTACATGGTGAGGACCCAGGGCACAAAGATCTGTGGAGGCTAAAATATGACACC